GAAGTATGCGAAAGGATTGAAGATGATTGAAGTAAGTGTGTGTGTGTGTGTATGTGTGTGTGTGTGTGTCAGTGTATTGAATCTTGAAGTGGCCTGAATCTTGCTTACTTGAACCTCTCATGTCCACACCTGGTTGCAAACCAGATAACATCCAGTTGCAAGCGGATTAGCATATATACAAAAAATATATTAAATTGTGAGGGCCAAAAAATGTGTTCGAAGTCCTCTCTGCAGTGGTTCCCAGATAGATAGTGGCATGGTGTCCAATACATGTTGGAAGGAGTTTTTCTGTTCTATTTGAAGGTCTGGGGACGCTCTTCGTTCGCCTTCAGGACCTTCCTCCGCAGTCAGCCGAACCCGCACCTTCAACGGAGCCCCCCTGTTGGAAAGCATGCCAGGATTCGTGCTTGTATAAATCAATCCCTGAGATTGTCGAAAACTGGCAAAAAAAGAAGGCAATGATAGGCCTCTTGGCCTTTTGAAGGTATATAGCCATCCACTCACTAGTCACTATAGTCACTAGTCACCAAGGCACTAGACACGCGTCACTCCGGTGCTCCAACTCCCGAGCCGTCGAGTGGCTGAATAGCGCCCGGAGGCCGCGTCAAAGCCGCGCACCGTGCCAAGGCCTCAACGCTACGAACGGAGCAAGAAGCTACTAGTAGCTCCTGGCATTACTACTAGTAACGTAACACAGGGCATCGCTACGAACGGAGCAAGAAGCCCGGAATGTCCACAGGGTAAGACCCAAGATGGTCGAGAAGCATGAGTTTGCAGGACAGAACCTGTCACCACACCTGTGACAGGGCCCTTGACCTGTGCAGGACAAATGGTCTAGTGTATTTTGGGCCCTTGACAGAACCCGTGATCACACCTGGCACCACACCTGCAGGAGCTTTCCAGGCGCCCTTTTATGCGGGGGTGGCGGCTCGGTCTTTGCTTCAGCTGCGCACCGGCACGGGTTCCCCGGTCCAATGTCCAGCAAACGCCGATTACACCCACCACAGGGCCAATTAGCAGCCAAAGGATTAAACCAACCATTGGAATTGGCACCTGTCTTTTGCACGATCCTTTCTGGGTGCTGCTGTGGGTTCTGCATTGGAAGGCCCCATGTCATAGCCTTAGTCTCCTCAATTTCATCACCGCCTGGCGGCCAAGTGCAAACCTGGACTCTGATGTGGTTCCTTGCTCTTGTTCTTCAAGACGGCATGTTGAAAGCTGGTGGCCCAACAAGCACCTTCAGGCTGCCACCACAGGTCACAACAGCACCTTCAGGCTGCCACCTGGTGCCCTCGTGGGTCAGGCATTGCCGGTGGCGGCGAGCAAACGAGGCGTTTTCACTCGCGCGGTGGTCGACACAAAACACCAGGGCTCGGCGTTGGCGGGTCATCTGAAACCAATCCTTGTTGATCCTTGGAATGAAAGGGGGGGAAGAAGGGCTGTAGAAGGATAGGGTGCACGTGTTCACCAGAACCCCCGCAGGAGATCGAAACTCGTCCAAAGCGCAGCTTCCTCGGCTGAGGAGAGGGGCCTACGTTTCGACCCACTAGTCTGCATCAGACTGCAAGGCTGCAGTGCAGCACTGAGCTCCAAGATCTTCACTTCTTTTTCATGTTGTTAAGCACCTGGCGCAAACACTGGCACACACAAATCTGAAGACAAGAAACCTCGGTGCGTTTCATCCAGCCTTGAGGAGAAGGTCTGACATCTGCACATCCGGCTTTTTGGCCAACGACTGGACGTTTTCCTCCATCTTGTTCACCTCGAACAAACAACCGCCCACGTGGTTCGAGCTCCCGAAACCCGACGTTTCAGTCGGAGTGCGGCTGATTGGTACGTGTTTCTTCGGGATTTGTTCGAAAAGGAGTTCTCGGCTCACAGTTTGCTGTGATGTTTCCCGCAGTTTGGATGCCCGAAATCTCTCTATTGGTATATGTACAACGCTTTGGATATCACGCAACCACTGCCACCCGCTGCTCATTTCAGATGTTGGGGCACCCTCGTACCATGGAGCATTCGGTCAGAAAAGCTCGAGCTACTCTTACACCCACCGCTCGTCAAACACAGCCTTCCGCCACCCCTCGGGCCATTGGTGAATGTGGTCTTTCGTAGCTTGTGCATCCTCAAGCTACATCTTCATGATTTGGGATTCAGATGGCAAGTAGTCGCCTCAAGCTGCATGTTACCTCTTGATTCAAGATTTGGCAGGTTTTCGTTTATAGGGGTTGGATGGGTTTGGTTGGTTTGGCTAACATAGCTTTGGCTTCTTTTAGGATTTGGTCTGGCTTGGATGGCTTGGCTTTAGTTTGTTTAGGGTTTGGCTGGCTTGGCTTTGGCTTGTTTTGGGCTTGGCTTGGCTTGGCTGCCTTGGCTTTGGTTTGTTTAGGGCTTGGGTTTGGCGGTGTGGCTTGCAGGATTTGCCCTTCGAGCGGGGGAGGGTCCTCTGGCTCTTTTTGTGGTCCCACTATTGCTATTCTCCGTCGATTGGATTTGGTGTCCGGCGTTTGGTGACTCTGCTCATTTTCCGACCACCGCTTTGATGCCCCAACGGTCGGGTTGACGCTCATGGTTTTTCAATATGGAGAGTTCGAGGTGTATTATCATGTATACTATACCCCCATCGCTACTAGGAACAAAGGGTATCGCTATTAGGAGCAAGGACGCTACTAGGGGCTCCTGGCATCGCTACTAGGAGCAAGGACGCTACTAGGGGCTCCTGGCCGTACTACTAGGAGCAGGTAGCTACCAGGAACAAGGGTAGCTCATACTCAGAACCCTTCATCATCATTCAAGTTATGTTTCATGATGTTTCTCTGCCCTCCTGCGATTTACCACACTTCGCATCGTGCACCCAGTGGAAGTTGAGATTAAGCAGGGCGGGCCAGATTTTCCCTAACCAGTATATGCGATTGGAGTGATCCCAACCCGGGGGTGGCAAAGCGGCTCTGTTCACACACCTGGCTCTGTTCGAGAAGTTGGACTAAAACTCTTCGAAACACAAAGGCGCGAGGTTCCTCAGGCGCAAAGCCACCATTTTCGGGCGCGCAGAAGCCACGGTTTTCTGCGTTGATCCGTTATCTACCCAAGCTCCACAGAAAGCTCCTTATAGCCGAGATCATTTCGGAGTTTCAAGATCTCAGCGTAGATGTGAGGCTTGACTAGACTAGTCGCAAACACCTTCTGCTCTCCATCATTTCCTCCTCATCATTTGTGTGGTTGAACGCATTTACAGCATCGGGCCGCATCTCGGCACCGTGCTGAAAAGCACGCCCATTATCATCACCACGGTTGAGATCTTCATTAACTGCATCATCCAGGATCGCTTGTCTCTGCTTCTCTGTAATCTCGTCACGAAACATGAAGCGGACGATCTCCTGGCCCACAAGGCGGCCAAAGCTCCCAAATATCTTATGGAGGGCGGAATCCCCAAGCATTGCCCGAACCGAACCATTTGGATAGGTCAATGTGCCGCACAAGCATTGGAACATTCAATTGACACAAGGGGGGCTCAATTACAGTATGTTTTTCAGAGTCCGTTTGCCAGTGCTGTTCCCAACCAAGCGGTCATGCGTTCAACATCTGGCCACTGACTTTTGGAGATTCCACTCAGGATTCGCTCAATCTGTCTGAAACGCAGAGTGGATAGGTGCACATCAAGGGCCGACAATCGGTCGCTCATAACCAAATGAACCGATGGTCGTGACAAAGACCTTTGCGGTCCCGGTTTGGAAGCTTGGACAATCGAAAGAATCGTTCTCCTACCCTTTGTTCCACAGTCCCAAGCTCCCACTCATGATGCGAGTTCTGTTCCAACTTCGCCCAGGAGCTTTGCTGCGGGTCGGCGCCACTTCTTGCGGGTCTTCCCGAAACCTCAGGAAGCACCCCACGCCACCCAATTTTGAGGTGCCCGATGCTGCGAGAAAAGACACCACAGGCACAAGAACACCCGTCGAGGAAACCGCCGAGGCACTCTTCTGCAATCAAATGCCTCCTTGGTGGCTCAGGTGCGGAGGTGTCTCGGGCGTCTTTCACGAAGCTCATGGCTCATGAACGGATGTTTCATGCCGATGCATGCGTCCTTGTCAGATGCTGGGAGGCTCATGTGAAACCTTGTGAGGCTTCGAGCCCCAAATCCCAACGAAATTGTCAAATGAGAGAGGAAAAGATTGAAGTTGTACGGAACGATGATGCTAATGTTCGATTGCAAGCGAATCAACTGGACTGCGGGCACTGTAGCTGGTCCTTTGTTCGGATTTGTTCGATGCCAAAATACTTGTAACTTTATCACTGTGACGCTACCATGCTACTGTTCATGATCTGAGGCTAGGTAGCCATAGATCATCCGAGGTTCTTATGGTTTCCATCCTCATTTCTGGACTTGCCAAAGGCTGATCGAAGTCGCTCTTCCTGATATTGTTTCGCCAGGCGCTTGTTTCCTTGGCCACGAAGCTCGCTCAAGCCACGTCTCTCTGATCAATTATGTGCTACCCCATTGGCAACCCAACACGAAAAAAAGCGGCTGCTGCAAACACGTCTCTACATCTCAGCCGTCTCAGCCAGTCATGACTTCCCGCGGCCGAGCATCTCGCTTGACGTTCAGCCACTGACAATGGCGCCTGCGAAACCATTCGTCCGGACATGCGTCCGGATGACCAAGGGGACGGGGTGGCTAGGCCCTAGGTTACATTCTGAAGTGAACTCTGCAACACTTGCAACGTCTTCATACTGCCTTGGCTTTGGCTTTCCTTCGCGCTTCTTTCTGACGGATCAGAGGCTTCGCCGCAGATCGCGCCTTAGCCGCTGCGAACGACGAGCTCTCTCGTTTTGAAAGCTCTTAATTCTCATCTCATCTTTCCATCTGCCACCATCCCCACCAACAGGGCTCCCCACATTTCCCCATGTCCCATGTCCTCAACATCACCTTTCTGAAGACACTCTCCGAGTGCAGATCTCCAGACCTCCTTGCCACCCCACCCAAGACCTTTCTCCCGACTCGATTCCAGGCACCACGGGCACTGGCTCGGGCAGGGCCGATGAGGAGCTTGCAGCCGCCTCGCTCCGATCCGGGCGCTTCTTCTTCCGCACGACTTTCACCTGGCGAGCGCGGCCGCGGCCGCGGCGGGTTCTGGGCGAAACCCGACGGTTCAACCGACGTTCAACTGGCTGGGCTGGCGGCTTGGCAGTGTCTTCAAAACCCCATTCACGTCAATGGGTGTCTGAGTTTGGGAAACCACCTTCAGAGTCACTGTCAGTGTCCCCAACCTGTGTTTCACCTGGATTTGGCTGCAACTCCTCTTGAACCAACCCTTCGAAAGGATGTGATGGTGTCACCAACTCAATCCACAGACTTGGAGGGACTTGCCAATCCTCCTAGTGATTTGCACGGCCACTTCCCAAAGACCACCGCAACATCGCCCCTGCCCCACCTTCATGTCGAGCTACATGCTGAGCGGCCCCGACTGTTGAGCCCGATGGGCACACTGAACTCACATCCCTAAAAGTTATACCCTGCGACTGCCACAAACCGCTAATCGTCTTTGCTCCGTGAAATAATCATGGAAGTGGATGGCATGGTCTCTTGAATGACCCTTTTCCTATACAAACAGGTGATTTTCCACTTTTTATGTCAAAGGGGGTGTACAACACCCTGCAACGTTTCGGTCTTTCCACGCTCCACGCTCCGCCATGATGCAGGTCCCTCCTATGCATTGGTCATTCTGCGTCAAAACGTATGGATCGAAACCAGACTGGTCAACATCCCTTTGGCCGAATGTCCCACCCCACCCCCACCACTCTTTGTCTGAAAAGCAGGTGGGTCTGTCGCAATGGTCCCCTAAAACGCAAGGTCTTGGCACAGTGGTTCTGCAAGAGTGTCTATCCGCAAGAGTTTGGTTTCAATATGAGCTGCATAGAATCTGTACCGCCGCCGGGTGGTTCTTGTTCACCGCGCCCCTTGGGCACACCACGTTCCTTCCCTCCGATGCTCTGGCCCTCCGGCCCCGCCCCGCTGCCAAGCGCGCCAAGCTCCCGGCAGCCATTGACGTCTGGGGCGGGAAACTCCACCACCTTGATCTTGCTGCCTAGGGGCCGCATGGCGCGCGCAAGACGCGGTCCGCATGCGGCCCTTGCGCGGGATGAAGCCGAAGGGCACGGAGGGGGTCTTGGGGAGCCGAAGGGCGAGGCACGCGGGCGATCGACTCAAACCTGGTTGGTGGGGGCGTGCCCTTCAAGATCTTCAAGGGGTTCAGAACAAGCACGTCTTCTCAAGCATGCTCAAGGCAACCCCAAGTTCGTCAAACTTGTTCAACACTGAACTCCCAAAAAGCGGCTCCGCCCTGTCCAACCAAGCTCGAGGCCATTCAGAATGTTGCCACCAGGATCAGACCTGTCAGATCCGAAGACCGACATCCGAAGACAGCACCGATGCAGCCCGGTCCGGAACTTCCCAAATGAGAGACAACAAGGTGATCCACCAGTGGAAACCGTTTCTAATTCAACCATGCAGCAGGTATATTAATACTACGTGACTGTGACTGTGTATGCACATACATACATACATACATACATACATACAATGCCATGCCATGCCATGCCATACCATACCATTACATTATATTACATTACATTATATTACATTACATTACATTACATTACATTGCATACATACTTGAGGCGACGGAGGTGGACGAAAGGTAGAGGTTGGAAGGTTCTGAGCAGCAGCAGCAGCAGCAAACCAGCAAAGCAGCAGCAGCGGTGACAGCGGCAGTGGCAGCAGTAGCAGCAGCGGCAGGAGCAGCAAAGCAGCAGCTGCAGCTGCAGCAAAGCAGAAAGCAGTAGCAGCAGCAGCAGCAAAGTACCAAAGCTCACACAAGTTTGGCCTCCACAACCCTTGGTTTTCGTTCAGTTTCGGGGGGGCTGTGCAGACGAAATTGAAAGAGGGTGGAGGCTTGCAGGGCCTAGACCAGGAGTCTAATCAATCACGCAAGGGCCTCTGTGAGAGCAGCTTCAGACCGCGATCGCCCATCCTAAACACATTGCCTTACGCTACATTAGGCTACAGAGCAAAAAGCAATACAGTATAACACATTACATCACATTACAATTGTCATACATATGCGTTTATATATATATATATGCGCACATGGATTCCATGTGGCCAATACATGGATGTGGCGTGCTTTTTGCCACCCAAATCATACCACCGTAGACCCCAAACACTTGACCGCCGGACATCTGCAACTCCAACAAAACCACTGGAAGGCATTTCAATTGCGGATGCTGCAGCCCAAACTGGGAGACAAATGTTTTAAAAGCATATTAGAGGGTTTGCCAATAGGTGGCCACTGGAAAAAGTTGTCAAGTTTCCTACTGAGCACTACTTGCCAGAAGGCGGGCTGGCCAGACTGGAAAACAAATGTAAATCATTACGACAAACGAAATACCAGAAGGTGGAACAAGAATTGTAAAGAGTTGCACTAAAGAATTGCAAGAAAGCGGGCACACCAGGCTGGGAGACGAGTGTCAAAACATTGTTAACGAGGAGCTGCCCAAAAGGTGGACGGACAGGGTGAGAGATGTAAAGAACTGCAGCCAAAAGAGAAGGCGGACGCAGTTGCCCAAACTCCAAGACGGTTGTGAAGAATTGCCACTCAGGAGTTGCCAGAAGGCCGACACACTAGCCCAAACGCTGAAACAAAATATCAGAGTTGCCGTTGCCACTAAGGTCGCCAGCTGAGTAGCAATTCCGCGCATTTGTCCCCCAGTCTGGGCTGGTGCGTCCACCTTCTGGGCAACTTCTGAGTAGCAAGTCTTCACATATGTCTCTCAGCCTGGGCAACTGCTTTTCTTACAAACTTCTGGCAACTCCTTAGTGGCAGTTCTACACATTTGTCTCTCAATCTGGGCCAATGTGCCCGCGAATGGCCATTCTATTCCCTTCCAATGTATAGAATTGCGTCTTCCTTAGCAGTTGCCCGTCTTGGGCGGGCGGACACACGTCTTCGCCCAGACTGAGGCCAAGCAGTGAGAACCCCAACAGTGAACGTTCGTGAACTGTTAGGAGGGACAACGGCACGAACACCTTTCAGCTCCGCCGAGGATCTAGAGCGGAGACACGGCGGTGACGTGAAGAAAAAGGGTCCGAAGTGGCGGACGTAAACAGCATTTGCACGGCCAACGGTGGCCAAAACAATCTCCATAGCTTAATTGACTTTCAAGCTGCCAGTGGTCTGAGACCGCCAGCTAAGAACTTGATGCCAAGGTTACAGAAAAGGTATCTGTTGCGTTTGTTCTTCAATCATCCATCTACCATGAGGCAACCCCCATCTGATTTCGTCCTTACCCGCCAACTGCCTTCCCACACCCCCAAGCAAAGGACCCATCAACGGAGGGTCGTCTCCAAGGTAAGAGCAAGGACGCTATTAGGGGCTCCTGGCATCGCTACTAGGAGCAAGAAGCTACTAGGCGCTCCTGGCCATAATACTGGGAACAAGGACGCTACTAGGAACAAAGGGCAACGCTACTAGAGGACCTCTTTCAGCGCTTGGAGCCTCAAACAGCGCAACCCCTTCCACCGGCTTCCACCGCTGCGCCTCGGAATCGGCACCTCCGGCCTCGGTCGCCGTTTCAGACGCCGCCGCCGGCGGTGTTCGCCGAGGTTTGGGAGGAAGCCGGACGTGTTCGCCGGAAGGTGAGAGAGGTACCTGTTGAGAGGTTAAGTGACCGTAAATAGGACCCTACTGGGGTACCTATGGGATAGTCTAGTTCGGGTCATTCAACCTGTGTTGGTATCTGTTGAGACACCCGGAGTAGGTGATTTGGAAGTTGATTTGGTTCAAAGGTTCACCTCAAACAACATGTCGACGTGGGTGTCACAGGTGCAAAACATCATGTACATTGCATAGTGTGCCGGTGAGCTGGCCATGTTCTTAGCACAACCATGCATAATTCAAAACTGTCGAAGGTTCAACAGCAAAACACCAACACCAACTCACCATGATACCCCTGGCTTCCCGCAAAGAAAGAAGACACCTGTTCAACTTGGGATGTACGTCAATAGCAAGGGTAGCTGAAGATAGGAACCACTTACTATTTTGGGACTGCTGCTGGGCAAAAGAGTATAACCCAAAGATCGAAAAGCATCACCTGGTGGGTTCCACCACGTTGTGGGTGTGTAGGTCCAAAAAGTGCTACCCCACATCGGTCGCCCAAGGGGGTTAGAATCGACGTTCCCTTCTTCCAAGGGAGGTTCCTGGGGTCGGTCTCCCAAACCTAAACCCCCACGTCGGTCGCCCAAACCTTCCTCACTTGAGAACCTGCCTCAGAGCCCCCGGGCTTCATTCCTGGACTCTGGCGGCTGGTAGCATCGGACTGAGCCTGGCGAGGCTGGAGTGTCTTCTTCTCGGCCCAGCCACTTGAGGGGGGATGAGGATGGTGGGGGTTTTCAGGGTGCCTGAATTCACTGAAAACAGGAGGAAATGATAGAACGTCATAGAGCCGGAAGGCACTGCATCAAAAGACTACTCATGGGGATGGGAGGGCAAACGGACTGTTTTTTGTAGAGCCTGCATGGAAAGTTGAGAGCCGGAATGCTTCAAATCAATTGGAAGATGTCGTCTCAACCAAGTTTGTGGATCCGTCAGGAGGCCTTGAACCAGGGAATGCCACGTTCAGCTCTCAGATAGTTGTCTTTCCTCTCCCTGATTCCACTGAGGTCAAGTAGAGGGAGGCCAAAAGCGCCCACGATTCCTTTTAGTTGCATCTGGTTTGTTGGGTCAAAGCATGCCATGTCAAAACCTTCAGAATAGCACTTTTTTTTTCACGCAAACAGTCCGCTCTTCTTCCGACTTCCGACTTACGTCCTTCCGGATCTGCTCTTTCAACAACTCCTCAGGACTCTTCGCCTCAACAAGCTAAGCTGAAGATCTGAAGGGGAACTTTGATGTGCATGGCGCCCATATATATGTCGGATAAGAAGTCAAAAGCTATATATATATATAATGTCGACTTCAGATTTATAAATATCCCTTGAATAAAGCTAAGCAAATCCCAGAACAGATTAATAAATTCCCCCCAAATAAAGCTAAATGTTTTCACCCCTGGCCCTAGGTATCCCAAATCCAGCCTTTAAAAAAATGTCCTGTTCATTCCCCTTGATGAACTCTTCTTCAAGTAGCTGACATGGAAAAAGATCCAAATGAACCTAGGGTGATTTCTTTTAAAATCCCTT